GGGGGGTCAAAGAAAAAATAGGATAACAGTCAGGTAAAAATTTTTAGCATTTTGGACAATCACATTACAAAAAGAAACCTGGGCTTGTTCGCACGCCTGAACTCATTATTTCTTAAAGAGGAAAATTGTTTCCCTATTGAATGATTAATATTCCATAAATACCCAAGAGATAGTGACACAATGTGATCAAGTGTCACAGAAAAGCGCGTTGGGGAACTTAGTGCGAGGAGAGCCATATTGCACACAGTACACAGGTTTGAGAAGAAAAAAATCTTCGCGAAAAACCTGCAGTTATTCTGAAAGTTTCTGCGCATCTAATTGGGGTAAGTCACAAAATGTGTGCTGGAGATACATATTAATTCGCTATCAGGTTTTACGTAGAAAGACATAATAAGAAAGAAAGAAGAACGAAAGACGCAGTATTGGGGAAAAGCGTCACTCCTCTTCTGTAGAGATTGTGACGTACGGGTTTTGCCATAGGACTAGGTTTTGCCCCTAGTTGTTTAGATTGGAGACCATTTATATCCCCCCCCCTCCTTTTTTACAATGGTTTATGTCATTGTCCATTTGCACCAAACGTGTAAAACACGCTGCATAAACATTTCTGTTGTTGTAAGACTCAAAAATACAGTATTGGGTCGTTCGATTTTTTTCTAATTTTTTTCGTAAAATCTTTTTGATATCTGCAAGAACAAAACTTGTCGAACCTGACCTAGAACTCGCAAACTGTTCTCTGTACATTGAGCTTCTCGTGACAGGAAAGCGCCAAGCGCAGAAATGTGTCTGCAGTCGGCTGCGCCTTGCCATCAGTCTTCGTCTTATAAACTTGTTCCGCCTTGACGGGTTCTGTTCCTCAATTGACGTCACAGAGGTTACTCCTCCCCTTTTGCCTGTCAAGAGTGACTTATCCATATAAAACAGGCTGAAACAGTCGCGAGTTTTCACTGCATGTAAGCTCACAAGGGAACGTTGTGGCTCGCCACCTGACCATCTCATTTTGTGGATTTAACAGTTCGTAAACAAAGGTGAGATTATCACTTTCACAAATTTGTTTTCTCGTTTTGATTTGTGCTATAAATTTTACTCTGAGGCAGCACTCGTACACATTTAAATCGACGTAATTACACCACAGCATTTTCCAGCTTTGCACTAACACTTCTATTTGGAAGACCTGGAGTTCTGAGGTACGACTAAAAGTCAAAGTTTGAATTTTGATTTTGAAATTCTAATTTCAAACGCATACCCTCCCAACTCTTCTTGACCAGAGAAAAGGCAAGAATAAAGGACTCGACCCCGGTTCACCAAGGCTGTTGTTCACGGTTTTCGTATTTTATGAGCGTGCGGCCCACCTGGAACAAACACATTAATTGGTGCTGTTATTTACTTGAAAAATAACTCATCTTGGAATTAGATGAAAAGAATGACAACTTATGAAAAAAATATACCTTAATGAACATAATTAAGACATTTTTAAAGCCATCACGACGCCCAACCCTTTTTCTTAATAGTTAGCAAACTTCGGTGCAGAAAAGTCTCATTCATGTCCACATTTTAAGAACGCATATTCACTCATTTTTTCACAATGTCAATTACAGAGTGACATGGTGTATCAAAAGGCTTACACTAATGCTGAAAAGGTAGATTCAAAACATTAATTTGTCTTTTAAGGACAAACTACTACAGTATTTTAAAGTAATGAGTTAAATGTTCTAGTCAAGAACACCATAATGCAGTTATCCGTCTTGTTTTAGTCTAGCACTTTGTCTGCTTTTGGGAATAAATACATCCCACTACCACTCCACAATTTTTTATTGTCACTTTTTGTTTTGAGTCTGTTCAAGTTATCCCCTATCCACTGTTTAATATCCTTAATTTCCCCTGATTCTCAAGAGCCTCCTGGTGTGAAACAAGGCCTTGATAATGGAATTGATTCTCCTTCAAGTTTTTGAAACATTGTACAAACCAGGCGGTATTGAATGACCTCAAGATAGTTTTTAAAACCATAATTTAGAAAGACAGAATGTGTCTACTATGTTTATAAGCTTCTATGTATTTGATCATCTTTAATTTCTAACCCATTCTCTCACTTGTCTCTTGATTTGCGTTGTCAGGGGAAACAGAACCCAGAAAATGTCGAAGTTTTACTCCAAGTCCCTCTCTCTGTCGCCCTTTTGAAGAATGCTCTTGCCTTCAAACTAATCTATTCTTTGATGTTGGTGTACCTACTTTTTATACCTTTATTTCGACTGCATTCAACACCGCCCTGCATGAAGGTTTTTTCCGAGGCATTCATGCTGGGCTGTTTTTCTGAACCAAGCGGTGTTTCCTCTTTTTACGGTGGCTAGTAGTAGTTCTTGTTAACCAACTATATTTTCAATTGCTTTTCACAAATCATTGTTTGTTTTGTTCCCTTTGACGTATGCTTTTAAGAATAATCGCAAACAATGTGATCCATCTTTCGATTTCATCCAGCAATGTTCAGGATTCACAGCTATATTGAAAGATTGAAAAGACAAGAGATTTGTATACTTCGCATCTGATTTTGAAGCAGATCTTGGTGTTGTTCTTTTCTTTTGTAAACATTGGAAATAGCTGCTGTTGCTTTTATTATTCTGCCTTGAGTTCGTCAGATGATGTTCAGTCTTTTGTCACCAAAGAGTAAAGAGTCAATACATTTGAATTGTGGACTTCTTCTAGTTTCTACTTGTTCGTGGTTATTTCAGCTAGGCTTCCTTTGATGGTGTTGACTTTTGACTTTTCTGTACTAGCGTCTATTCCTAATGAAATGTTGGTTTTTATGTCGTGCAATTTAATGATGAAGCCCGCTGTGAGGTCTATTTTGCCCTTAAATTGGACGTCGCATATTGTTAAATCACCCAAATATTATTGTGGTGATGTGGTTGTCAAAGATGGTATCTCTCATAACTTTGTCAAGAAATGGATTGAATAGGTTGTTTGAAATATATCTGTCCCTCTTTATAATATTGTTGTAAAGCGCCTTTATAGTATCAATTAGCCCTTTTTTTCAATCTTAAATAAAGCCCAACGTCGTCATGTCAGATTCTATTGAAATGTATGAAACTGAGGAAGGTGTTGGAGATGTTTCGCTATATCAGGATTCCACAGTTGACGATTCGTTCCACAATGCTCCACACCGGTCTGAAGCTCACCCTTTCTTCCGCTAGTTTGTCTTTAGTTGGTGGTTCATGGCGATTTAGGACGGTGGGTAGCATTATCTTCCTTGAATAGAGTATTAAGTTGATTTTTCTGAAGTTTTGGCACTGGTGTGGGTTTCCTCTCTTAGGTTGGGGGGGGGGGGTTATTAGAGATTGGGACCATTCTGTGTGCCATTTTATGCCATATTTTTGTCAAAGGATTAGAAACACATTGGTTTACTGGTTACTGGAAGACTGGAAGTTTTGAGCAACTTTGCTGGTATATTATCTACGCTTGGGAATTTGCCTGTCTCGAATTTCTTTATTGTCTGTTTGATTTCTTCTCTTTATATTTCGGAGCTATCCTCTTCAATGTAATAATGTAGAATTATCTTGATGGGAGTTCATAATCTTAGAGCTCGCTACAGTGTTCAGACCATTTCTTTAATATATCATTGTTGTCTGTGACGGCATGAGTTGCGAGTTTGGCTCGTTTTGGTTAGTGCTTTTAGAGGGTTGCATGCTGTTTAATGTTTCCCCATTTCATGCCAAGTCGATAGCGTAACAGTGTTAGCTTTATCTGTATCTGTATTTTAAATATAACCCCTTTGCCGGCTCGTTGGTATTTTGCTTACCTTTTATCCTTTTTTTTTGCCACCATGTTCCGAGGATTCCTTCTGTAGTGATAAGTAGTGCACACTTCATGTCGATAGGCATTGTGTTTAAATCTTTGTCGAGGTTATATAGAGCAGCAAACTTTCCCCCCATCTTAGCTTGGAATAAAAATGTGATTTATTATCTTTGAGCCTGTCTTGAGGACATTTTAAGCGACGGTTTGGCTGGAGCTCGCTTGAACTTCAGTATGTTGTCATGACTAGGTCATTGTCCCTCTCTACATTAGCTCCTGGGGAAACTGCGGTTTCTGCTCTGTTGATGCTGGACTTGATTTGTTGAGGAGCAAGGATGACGTCATGTTCTTTGTCGATCTCGCCTTTCGGTGCACACTATGATGGCGTTCTGGTCAGTGTGTGGTGTTGTTGTAGATTGCTAGCCAAAGTTCAGTTGGGATTTCTGTCTTAATCGCCTTTCAATTGTTTCACCAATGCTGGACTTTCCGAATTTTCAAAAGCAGTCACTACATGTGCCGTACCCGACTCTTGTATTCCAATCTCCCAGGACAATATCTTTTTTTTCGGGATTGTTTTCATAATTTATGTCTACTTACTCGTATAACTGCTCGACTTTTTCATCTTTGTTCGTCGATGTCGAGACATAAACCTGAATTATAATAATGTTGAGAGCTTTCGTTAACACACACACACACACACACACACACACACACACACACACACACACACACAATCATTATCAGGGGCGGCTCGTTGGGCTAAAAAGTGGACGAGCACAATTAAGCTATCGCATGCTAAATGCTGAAGATAGTCAAGGGCATAGTAAATGAGACGTTGAACAATTTTAGGATCTTTGGGTTGGTGAGGGAGGACCTCGTGCTTTTATTTTCATTCTTTTTACTTGTCGCTTTGATTTCTAGTACTAAATTTGTTTGTTAGCTTAACATCAATTTCGTTCATCCTGTATTGGAACCAGGGGAGAAGGCTGACTTGTTTGACAGGGTAATCAAAGTGAGATGGGACCAGATAGGGCCTGGAGATATCACACTCACACAAGTCACAAGAATCTTACTGGAGGCGGCAACTCTGAGAAAATGAAAACAAATCCTGAATTCATGTTGTATGCATATTCAACCGCTAAAATAATTAGGAAAGTATTTCATTAAATATTTATTCTAACTAACTTTAAATTTAACTTTAGATTTGAATACACGAACACCAAGGAAAGAAGCAGAGATGTCAGTTCTACAATGGCATGTTATACCAGACAGTCGAAACACTTTGGTAGAACATGCCAATTATTAATTTTTTATTTCACCTTTGGCTGTTTTTGTCTAGCTTTTCGCGGCCAGGAGCCGGTGTCATAATCGAGGTCACGATCTGATTATAGGACGTTAAAAAGTCGAGGAAAATAAAACAAGCACTTGCAGCAGTCAAGATATTATTAGGATTTAGTTCCCCTCACATCTGTGAGGTAGACTCGACCAGTGTAATAGTTAGCTTACATAATCAGAGCGTGTCGCTGCTTATAACTGTTGCTCGAAAGGGGTGAACAGGGTATATGTGGCAATGAAACAGTTCTGACTGCTATGCACATGTTCCCTTCAACTCTATTGGTAGACTCTTTAAGCCTCCTTTTAAGCTTACTTAATCAAAGCTTGTGACTGCTTATAGAGTGGCCCGATAGGGGCGAATAGGCTATTTCTATGGCAATGAAACGGTTTTGAAGGTTAGGCATAGTCTATTGTTCATTGGTGATTATGAGCGTCTTTTTACATTTAATTTATGAGGTTTACGTCTATGGGTGAATTTGACTGCGACAATGTTTCAAAATTAGGAAGGGAAGCAGTGATTAGTTGATTATATAGACGCTTCGCCTCTGATTGGAACTGAACACTCAAGTAATAACTTTCACTACTCCCCTACAAAACCATTCAAAGGCACAAGTCATAGGACGGTCACGTTCACCTCCCTGCCTAGGGTTCACAGTCACAGAGTCACTTAAAATAGTGGCAAGACAGACAATGAACCAATCACAATTCACTTGAGCACTCCGCTGGATTGCTCCAGGGCTCACATAATATTGGCAAAGAATAGCGTACGTACGGTTTATCACGTTTATTTTTAGACTGCCAACTGTGGGCTATGTTTCGGCACTGTTCGGCTGGAGCACATTTGAGATGTGCTGTCTTATTAATATTAATGTGCCGCCAAACTCGCTACGAGTGTCGTCATCGCTTGGGTTATCCCCAAGAGCGATTAATAGGTTACACTGTGAAATATCCTTTTATGTTTAGCTAAAGCGCATGGACTTTGGCATGGCACAGTCGATGTTTTACGGCGCTATAGACACAGAAATGACAGTAATGACGCCAGTGAGGACCTTGTTTTGATATAATATTTGGCTAGTGTTTGTTTCTGGCTTCTTTTATTTTATTATTGTGGGTGTTTACGTAATAGAATATTTTAAAAATTTGGGCGGCACTGCACGACCGTGCTCTATGGACGAACCTCGCCTGATCATTATAGATTGGCTTTCGAAGTGATAGGTTTGTTGGTTGGCGGTTTTCTAGTGCGTGAAGATGTTTACATCTTTAGACTTCTGTCTAAGAGTGGCCGCCGGTCAGTGAGAGTGCGTTCTGTCGTTCTTTGACCAAGGACTGTAAACAATGTACTAACTGAAAGACCTTCTTTTCCAAACAACAAGACAACCAATCAAACAACTAAGGTCAATCGGCTATGATTAGTTGTAAATGTGTTAACCCACGTTGGCACAATATTACATTATTGTGGAGATGGACAGCTTCGCTCTGCCAGACAGGGCCAAGCAGGGTCTTATTAGGATACAGTATCCTAGAACTTGTTTCTGTTCTAATAGATATTGCATAAAAAAGCTTCCCACGCTCGGAGATACATGTTGCAAGAAAACATGAAGTTTAAAAAATGTATTTCTCGTATTTTATTCTGTTTTATTTTCTATTATTATTATTATCATTATTATTATTACTACTACTACTACTACTACTACTACTACTACTACTACTACTACTACTACTATTATTATTATCATTATTATTGATAATATTATTATCATCATTTTGCAGCCGCAGACATGAAGACCTCAACAGTATTGGCTGTCGCCCTTGTATGCATGTCTGTGATGAAGGTATGTTAATACAATGAAACTACTTTCTTGTTAAAGTGATGTTAACTCAGTAACAGTTCACATGTTTTATAGACAAAACAATTAAATTAGTGGCCCACACAATGGTGCATGTTGGGAACGTTCATTTGTCTGTCAGTCATTCATACCGCTTCCACCTTCTATTTCACTTTCTCCTTGCATTCAAATCATCCCCTGCCCCCCCCCCCCCCCCTAAAATAAAATAAAATAAAATAAAATAAAATAAAATAAAATAAAATAAAATAAAAAGAGAGCGAGAGAGCGTGAGCGTGAGCGTGAGCGTGAGCGAGAAAGTGCGCGCGCGCGAGAGAGAGAGAGAGAGAGAGAGAGAGAGAGAGAGAGAGAGAGAGAGAGAGAGAGAGAGAGAGAGAGAGAGAGAGAGAGAAGAAAAAAGAAGTAACAGACTCCATACCACTAATCAACAACTATTATTCTAAATGGGAATCAGCAAAAAACTTTTCCCCCTTTTTCCAATGTAATCACGTTGATTGTATTTTCTTTAGTTTAGTTTTAGTAGAAATTTTACGTCGCTCGCAACTGCATAAGGTCATATGAGCGCCAGGAGATTAGAGGTGTTACAAGAGAGTAACAAAAATAAAAAGAAGGGGAGATAAGAATGATAGATGTTTGATAGGAAAGAAGAAGCAAACCACACCAGAACACATGCCAACCACCCACGTATTTTCTTTAAATATGAGCATATGGAACCCATGAATCGAGGTACTTCTGGGGTAAATGAAGGTTAGTAAAAGGTCACAAGAAGAACATCCCATTCTCCGGCTTTCCTCAACCCAGAAGAAGCATTTTTCCTAGTATAATCTTATAGGTTGCGCATCTTCCATCAATGGTGTTGTTGCCATTATCTACCAAAATTCTCGACAAGGTCATAAGATGGGAAACTAGAGAGGTGGATGTTTATGTAGTCAGAGACCGTATATCATTTGGCAGAAACTTCTCTATAAAAAAAATGGCGCTAGCTGATTATGTCGGCACTTTTGACCCCCCAGTTCGTTTACCATACCCATCGTTGGATTAATTTTTTAGGCTTCACCTCAAGCTTATCACACAACTATTTCAGACGTAGTAAAACTATCGTAGCTTTCTTTTTACACGGCTATATAGAGTATACATGTATCGTTTTGGTTTCCCCTTAAACTGTGTTATAACCTATAAAATGAACAAATCGTCCACGCAACAACAAAAAATGTTAACAGAACATAGTTTCTCAGAAATTCTACATTGGCAACGCTGTAAACAAACTACCCCAACTTTTGAATTTGGCTTTTTGTGGTTTTTAAAGTAACACTAGATCTATAATTTAACGTTAGGGCTCTTCCCGTACACATGGGGTTTTCCCTTTTTCAATGATAAATCTGAGACTGCGCTCTTAAAATAATGTTATGTTTAAATTTCTTTTATCCGATCGCAAATCTCTCTGAGTCGATACACGTACTGTCATTTTTACCTTGGGGGGGGGGGGGGGTAGGTGGAGGAGTCGTGAGTGGTATAAAGGCAGGCATTAAAACTCTTGATGAAACTGTGCTCGTCCACGAAAAATTAGTAGTTAAAGTTAAATCTGCCATGGTAATAAATACCGATGGGGAATTTTTGCCCCAAAAGGAAGAGAGGGTAAAAAAACTGAAGGCAATTTGACTCCTGCCAATGTCAATGACAATGTCAGGGCCAGTCTAGGCTGCACGTGAAACATTCCGTCCAGCGTATGAATCAAACTCGCGCCGAGGCAGAGCCCAAGCGAAAGACCACGGATGCCAATAGACTAACACGAATCCTCGTGGTCCATGCATTACAATTTGAGCCGTTGAAAATATTATTACGTGACTTTCTCAAAGAATAACAGAACAGCTCTGGCTTCTATTTCCTTTCAGGATCTAATGGGTAACAAAAGTAATTCCAATACCAAACGTTGACAATTGTGGCTGTGATGGTGATGGGAGAGGAGAAGGGAAGAAGAGGGAAGAGGGAATAGGAGGAAAAGGAGGAGGTGGGAGAGAAAGGAGAAGAGGAGGAAGGGAGGGACAGAAGAGAAAGAGGAGGAGGAAGGGTAGGAAAAGGAGCGGGATGAGGAGGAAGAGTAGAAAAATAGATAAGGGAGAGGGGTAACAACAAGCCAGAAAAGCTCAATTCTGTTAACATACACTGACCACACGATCTGTTAGTTGATATCGATGTAGCGTAGTCCCGTCGTTTTACAAAGCGCACATTACTGCAGATATTGTTGGGATTAGAGATCTTTATTCCCTTTTTTTCAGGTTTATTTGGTTCACATTTTTGGGTGTTGATAAATAAAAACAGTCACTGTCTGACAGTATCATGTACGACTTTGAAACATTTCCCCAGCTTTTCTGTTCGGCGACAACATGGCGTGGCTCCTGTTCAGCAATCCTAACTTCTTGAGGTTCCTTACCGGGGTTGGCGGCGGAAGTGGTAGCTTGCCCTTATGGCTCCTTGCATCCAGTATGGGTGACAACATGAAACACATGGGCCAAGGTATGCTTCTGTCTTCATTATTGCCACCCGGTGCACGGTCCGGGGCTGGCGCTGCATAAGAGAAGAGAAAGTGTTGCGGTTTCCCGGAACAGATGGGAGTGTCCACAAAACACGAACACAAACACAAAACTTGGCGAGGAGTCCTCTTTGATTCCACTGACAGCCTCGGAAGGGACACCAGTGAATGCAGCAGGCTGGGTTTTTTTTCCTTCAGTTATTTTTTAACTTTTTTTTTCTTTTTGACTTCTATTAAACTGTTTATGCATGTTTACAAATGGGTTCGTTGGCAATTGTTCTGTTTTGTTTTTCTACTTTGTACGATTCCATTATGTAACTCTTCTTGGAATTTTTGTTCAAAACAATATGGAATAAGAAACCCCTGTCCGATAATCTCAGTCTATTCCTTGTCATTTTCCAATCTACCCATCTTATAGTCTCAGGAATAACGAAGTTACCATCGGGCAGCAAGTTCTTTCCTCCTCATAATGTCACTTTCATATTATGATTTTCAGAAAACAAAGCTTTAATGGGTTTTTTTTTAAGAACCATGCCATTGCAATGCAAGTTGGAACATTCAGTCAACCTTCGTGAAGAAATCATTTACTCGTTCTTCAAAAATGCTTCGAAAGATGCAAAGAATGCAACAAGCTACACAGAAATCCTGAAAATATTGACTCCAGTGATTCTAAGTGTAACTTAAGGCTAATGCAGATATACAGACACTTACGCTGACTTTAAGAAATGGCAAGGTCCACTGGATGCAGGGGTGGTTTAGCGGGGGGGGGTATATCTAACTTCATAGCCTATGTTTAGTACACTGGTGGCGAAATTCAACACCAATAAACTTTCCTTTCCTTTTCACTTTTTCCCCCCTTAATTTTAAAGCAAAGATATTAATATGATTAACCAAAACAGGTGGCAACACCTTGTTTCTTTAACGAACAATAAGGCGTTTATTTAGGATTTTTTTTTTCGTGACTTCAGTATATTTCAACACTGTCTGTGGTAAAAATAGATTGTGAATAGAAGTTATGATAAAGGGACGTTTTTCTCCACGCCACCAATTTCGTTGAGCTGTCCTAAACTGTTTTAAGGGCGTATGCTGCCGACCCACGCCAAGACTGTGGTCAGGGTGAATATTATGATGTATTTGTCTTTTTTAGTACATGCAGTACTGGTGAATTCTGCATCTCGCAGGAAAGCACTTTTAAACACTGCCAATTGAAAATTGTCTGACTTTGCAGTACTTTTAATGTTATCCCATCGACACCATTTAGTTCAGTAGGTAGGACGCGCGTTTTGACATTGCCAGTCAGGGCCATTCAGGGCTGAAAGGGACACAACGTTCCAGCAGAAAGACCGAAATACTCGGTATAATTCTCCCCAAACGGGAATAAAACTCGGGTTTTCTGCATGCGACGCAAAAGTTCCTGACCACTACACCACAGACACCGATGCATTTTTTTAATTCGTTAACAATGCTCGCGAAAACGACGTCATCGGAAACTGCAGCAGCAACGTTTACGACGGCGACGAGGATAACGGCACTGCTATCATGGTAGCTTCACATAATATAACGAAACAAAAATGACAACAACATCAGTTGCAACAAATTACAATTGTGTTAATAATTAAGACAAAACACCAACAACAATAACAACGAAAAGAGGTCACGGCGAGACAATCCACAAGAACAACGTAACTTTGTTTTTATGAGTAAAAGAAGCACATCGACGCTATGAAGTCCGTTTAGTTCTTGTGAAAAGGCAAGACAGACAGACGGACTGAAACAATAGAGGGGAAGAAAAGGAGTAGGAGCCACAAGTGACACCCTCCTACCTCTCATGTGTAACGGGGACAAGAAAAAAAATGAAAGCGGCTGAATGAGAAAAAGACAGCAGCCCTGACAATACGACAGATTTCCGTGGCTAATGCACACTATGGTTAGTTTTATGTACACAGTTATCTATATATCTATCTATCTATCTATCTGTCTATCTATCTATCTATCTATCTATCTATCTATCTATCTATCTATCTATCTATCT